ACGTTTTTTTTTATATATATATATATATATATATATATATATATATATATATATATATATATATATACTACAAGTCAAATGTTTTTGAACAGAGATTTTTTTAAGATTTCTAATGTTTTTTAAAGAATTCTCTACTGTTCACCAAGCCTGCATTTATTTGATCCAAAATTCAGCCTAAGTAATATAGTGAAATATTGTTACTATTTAAAATGACTGCTTTCTATTTGAATACATTTTAAAATGTAACTTATTCCTGCGATTTCAAAGCCGAATTTTCAGCCTCATTACTCCAGCCTTCAGTGTCACATCCTTCAGAAATCATTCTAATATTCTGATTTGCTGCTAAAAAAACATTTATTATTATTATTATGTTGAAAACAGCTGAGTAGATTTCTTTCAGGTTTCTTTGATGAATAGAAAATTCAGAAGAACAGCATTTATCTGAAATAGAAATCTTTTGTAACGTTATAAATATCTTTATCATCATTTTAAAGCATCCTTGCTAAAGAAAAAGTGTAAATTTCTATAAAATTATTATAAAAATATATTGTGGTCACAAATATGTAAGCATTATTACACGACAAAATCTTTCATGTAACTTTCTTATAACTGATACTGCTGGTGTGTTTCCTGTTTTTTGGTTTTCTGTAAATGACTTGTTAGTTCTATAGAAAAAGGTGTGGCACTGAAAACCCCCTCAACAGAAACAGTTTTAACAGTTTTAATTTAAAAAAAAAACTTATAATTTTATTAGTTATTCAGCTGGCTGGTGATTCTTAAATTTAGGCTGTGTTAAAATACATACAACATACAAAATGTTATTTATATATGTAAATATACATCCTCTTGACTACCCCTAACTTTTCACAGATTTAGGAGATGGTTTTTATCAATAAAAAGCTTTCTGAAATATCTTAGAGCAAATATTTAGGAGTCTGGAGAGTTAAGTCTGCCAATATGTTAACACGTGAAAAAAATATACTTACAACCCAATCGTTTTTTAACATAGATGTAGTTCACTAACTGTGATTTTGTGACTGGATTAGCTAAACTCATTGGTTGGTCAACTTGGTTAGCTAAGCTATTTATCATGTTAACTTGGTTATCAATGTGCATAATAAAACAAATCTACATTAGCAAATTTATCCAAAAACCTGTTTACATTCAAGAGAAAGATAAGAAACCTGTGGTAACTTCACAAAGTTAAATTAATGTGCAATTTGTTGCAAACAACTAAATGTCTTAATAATTGAATAATGCACGTAGTACGTTTTACAAGTAAATACAGTTTCAGTCTTTCCGCTTCAAAATTTACATTTACTTCAGTGTGTTACTTATGGAAGCCTGTTTCTGCCATGAGATAATAATAATAATAGTAATAATAATAATAATAATAATAATAATAAAGGTAAGTGCAACTTTTTATCTCAAAATTCTGACATTTTTCTGGCAGATGTAAGTTTATTTCTCACAATTCTTCTATCTTGCAAAATGTACTATAAATAAAATAAAGTTTCTACACCAGATTTGCTTTCAGTGTACCTCTTCCATCAAATGTAAATGGAACAATAAATGTTGAACATGCCCATCCGCCACTGGCTCAAAGAAATGAGAACAGAAGCAGTTGACGTTATGTTTCACAATTGTTTTCACAGACTCGAGATGCCAACTACAGAGGACAGCGAGAATTAGCCGAGAGGAACTCCAAAACAGCGCTCGTGCTGAATCATATCGGCCTTGGGATTGGTCTTGTTGTTATTGTATTGATGATTATCATCCAGATGACGAAATGAAGATAAAAGCTGTTGGAGCTGACATGGCTGGATGAAGAATACAAACAGATTTGTTTTTCTTTATTTTAAATGTTACTTGCTCAATTTATCATTATTCTTGTGCTTTAAGGCTGATTAATCTATGTTTAAACCAATGAAAGTTACCATACAGTTTTTTGTTCTCTTTACTTCTAAAATGTTTTGTTTAGACTTTTTGCTTATGTTAAATATCTTGTGTGCAGCTGTGCTCATTTTTTTCAGTGATCAACCAACTTAAACAGAAATTGAAGTGTTGGTCAAATACTCAAATCAGAATGAAAGCACAAACACATTTTTTTTAAAATCAATGATAAAGGTGTTTCTCAATTAATTAAAAGTACTTTTTTAAAGCACATGTAAAGTTGTGAGTATACTCTGAAAAAAATAACTTGTAGGATTTACTTGATAAAATTTTCGTAACAATTTCAACACATTTTAAGTAAATTTTACTGCTACTACTCTGTACACTCTACTTACTATCGAATTAAGTAAAATATACTTACCTAAGTAAGATTAACAAAGAAAATAAGATAATGCTTTAACTGAAAAGTTTAGTAATTTTTTCTGGTCAAAGCTTATAAGGCTCACCTAAGTAAACCATGCTTTTAATGTGCATGTTTTACTCAGAAACATCTAAAGTAAATATTACAATAAATATCATATAAACACCACATTTATAGCATTAGTCATGCGACACTCATCCGAAAACAGAGACTGCAGTGCTTAGTAAACAATACACAATGTTGGCAGTGTTGGGGGTAACGCATGTACAACGCATAACAAGTAATGCGAGTTACGTAATCAGATTACTTTTTTCAAGTAACTAGTAAAGTAACGCATTACTTTTTAATTTACAAGAGAATATCGAAGTTACTTTTTCAAATAAGTAACGCAAGTTACTTTTTTTCCGAATTTATTGACTGACAGCTCTCCTGTCCACATGTTGAGAGAAATCAGATGTTACTGTAGTTCTAAAATAAATATGAATATGCATTAATTCATCTCACTAACAAAAAAACACAGATTCAGTATTCCACAAAATGAATAAAAATAATGCAACTCAGAATATGACGCAAGCCTGCAATAATTAAATGTTAAACAACACAAATATCCTTTATGTATTTAATCCCATTCTATTAAGCAATGTCTTTGCTTCTGACCTTCGATAATCCAGTTCAACCATACTAATAAGCGACAATTACTTTAGACAAACATTTGTGTGTCTTTTTTTATTGCTGAAGTGTGTTGAAATTTCTTCTTCTGCATTATATTGTACGGACGTAGATTTACTTTCCCTTCAGCCTGAGGCTTATTCATTTCACTTTTGGTGTGAAAAGGCTTTTATATTTGCCAAAAAGTTGAACTTTTTCATTTTAAAAACAAACAAGCAAGCCCTGTCCAGATTTAAAAAGTAACGTAACGCATTACTTTCCATAAAAAGTAACTAAGTAACGTAATTAGTTACTTTTTTATGGAGTATTGTATTACATTACTTTTAAAAGTAACTTTCCCCAACACTGAATGTTGGTAACATTCAGTGGTTCGTTTTTGAGAATGTGTCATTTTGAGTTGAATATGAACTCCGCAAGTTACTAAACCTAACAACAAAAGCAATGACAAAACAGTGTAAATCAGCCGTAAAACAGCAAAAAAAATCTCCCTTATTAATGATTCATGCCCCAGTGCATGATGGGAACACCAGTATCAGAAAAGTTGAGTAGGTTTTACTTGATTAATAAAGAATTTATTTTTTTTATTTTTTATTATTTAACAAGTTGCTAAATGGGACTACAGGCGCTGTCTGAGACATTCAACGTCATCACGCCGAACAGCTTATCAATTTACAGTATTTTCCAGTCATAGTGTAATTTGTAATACAATTAATTGTTATTCAAATTAATTGTTTCCCGCATTTTATATTGTTGTTCGACAATGTTTTTTGTTTTTTTTTTTGCCCCGAAATGCAACACAAGTCTTCGGATGGAAGATGGTCGTTTTATCGTTTACTGATGCAGAGACTCTGGGTTTGTACCACAAGGTAAACTCATATTATGATTATTCCAGGGAAACACCACATTTACCAGCTAGTCACAGTGAAAGTTAAACTTTAACGATGCATCGTGCTTGAAGCCACGCTAAAATAAAATGTTTACGGCCACATGAAGCTGTTAGAAAGCTTATGAGGATTTCCTAGAAGCAAGGATAAAATAACATTTTGTGACCCACACTAACAAAGCTGAAATGTGGTACTTCATTCACTAAAATAAGTTTAATCTTACCATATCCAAAAACTCGCTCACTCTGCTGTTATTTAATAGATTAAATGCACTAGAATTTTATTGAATAGGACATGAAGACATGTTTTTAATTAAAATATTCATATTAATCAAGGCTTTATTGACTTTTAATGCACCTTATTTCGAAATGTACAGAAATACGTGCTTTCATATGTCCTTTAGTTATGATTATTTCATTTATTCACTATACTATTTATTATTAATGTCTCATTTCAGTTTTAGTTTGGGTCTAGTTTTGTATTTATTCCAGTTTATATGAAAAGGTTCATGTAGCGTGGATTAAAGTTCATATACAGAGTAAATTTGAAAAAGTTGTCAGAAGCGTGGTGGTGGTGACGTCGAAGGCGAGCAACCCTGGTGCTGTAGTTCGTTTATAGCCTAAATTTAGCTTTTAAGTTCTGGCACTTTTATTTAGGCTTCAAAATGATCTTGATGGACAAAACGTGTAAGTTTCATGAACTATGGTTGAACACAGAGCTTATTTTTTGCGATAATCCAAAAGCCTATGGGAAATCCTATAGGCTTTTTGTCGAGGGAACCAGTGTCATGCTAACAGCCAATCCGCCTACAAAGTGACATCATAGTTCCCCCACTCTATTACTCACTCATCAAAATGTTGATGGGGGGGTTGGTGACACTGGGTTGTGACTGAGGCCAAGATGGTCGGAAGTGGAGTAGAGTCCGGAAGTGAAAGAAAGAAACAAAAGTAAGTCACAGAAGGAAATGGTAGGAAATATTGAAAGTGCTAAGATGTTGCGAGATGGAAAAAAATTATAATTTTCTGCAAAGACAGTAAACAACAAAAGGCTGCTCTAGGGTTTAAGACTATTTTAGGGCAAAAGGTTACTAGTCAGGTTATGGGAGAAAAGAAATGGATGAGAGGAGTTATTACTTGAATACCAACGAATGTATCAATAGATACGATTAAGAAAAGCATTTCAGGAACAAAAGTGATAGATGTGAGGAGGCTGAAATATAAAATCCTATAGGCTTTTTGTCGAGGGAACCAGTGTCATGCTAACAGCCGATCCGCCTACAAAGTGACATCATAGTTCCCCCACTCTATTACTCACTCATCAAAATGTTGATGGGGGGGTTGGCGACACTGGGTTGTGACTGAGGCCAAGATGGTCGGAAGTGGAGTAGAGTCCGGAAGTGAAAGAAAGAAACAAAAGTAAGTCACAGAAGGAAATGGTAGGAAATATTGAAAGTGCTAAGATGTTGCGAGATGGAA